TTGACGGTGTGTGTGCAACACATCATGCCATAAACTAGACAACTACTTTTCAGCATAAAATATTTGATGAAATTATGATTTATCTGTGGTTTAACCTGTTTTATAAATCCATAAGACTGAATAAAACATGATTATAGGTAAGTATGTCATGTGAACACAAATAACACTGAGCTAGATGGACCACTTTTATGATTTAGTGGTTGGATTCATGAATCACACTAAGCCAAAATAACCCTTGCCATTTCTATAGCATATTGTATGAGCCTAAATGTTGTTTTTTTGTAGCTCGTGATTTATGGCTTAATGTGTTTTATATATGTATATATATATATATATATATATATATATATATATATATATATATATAACACATACTCCTAGAAAACAGGCAATATTCATAATAGATTTTTCTCTTGAACACAGAGAAGATAACATTTTAATAGGTTGTATTCACACAACATTCTAAACCATAAACTACCCAACAATATTATAGTTTAGTATGTTGTGCAGCCCAGTGTGGTTGATAGCTCAGTGCATGGGATAAACTCAGAAAAATGATTACATAAGCTATGTGCACTAAACCATAAGCAAGAATATTTTGCAAACATAGTAAACAAAAATGAGCTTTCATAACTCTGACTTAACTACTGTAAAATTGCAGGTTTCCCAAATGCATGTAGACCATACAAACATATTTTTCAGCAATTACAAATTCACAATTTCTTACACCCTGCAGCCATATCCTATACACAAGTGAAGTGGGAGGCAGGTGAACAAGAAAACACCACAAAATTCAGGGAATGTCCCTCAGGCAATGAAAGCCAGTGCTCTGATAGAAATCAGTGGCTCAAAATTATAGGCAAATGATTTATTTAGACTTCTAATCCCCTGAAATGTGCATAAAAAGATCCCATAAATGGGAACTTTGCCTAAAAAGTATTTGACAATATATTTCTATATAATTAAGACGTCTTTATGCAATATATTTGCACAGGCTATCCACATGTAATGCAAAAGAGCAGAGATACATTACTTAGCCTCATTCCATTTTTCTCACCCTCAAATATTCATGTATTCATTTCAACATTTAGAGAAGAAAAAGCTGTATGCATGAATATGGACATGATTGTTATTCCATGTATGCCCCACTGCATATGTTATAGAAATATGTTTCATTACCAGAGGAGAGGATACAAAGAAATTAAGAAGAATGTTTTTGCTATTTTAGAAAGTTTGGGACTAGTTTCACTATTGAGATTCTTACTTAAGTAAAGCTGAAAATTTTCAAAATAGAGAAACTATTCTCATCACTGTTTTAAAAGGATCAAGGCACATAAATATTTTTAAATGTGTGAACTGAAATTATGTTTTGGTTTTGTACAACTCCATCATTTGAGAAGTAAAACAAATCCAAAGTGAAAAAAGTGATCAATATTTTAATACAAATTTGTCCCAGCAGACTTAAAAGCATGACTGAAAAGCATAACAAAAATTTAAAATCTTAATTTCAAGCTTTTTGATAAATAACATAATGTATTTCTTAAAGATACCACAAAGTGTCCATCAGCTAAAATACCAAGATGAAAACAGTACACTGATTAAAAAATTATCCTTCATACCCTTATATAGGAAGAACCTCTCTCTGGCCTATCAATAGAACCTATTTGGCCATTTAAGCTCATAAAGAATATCTGGTTAATAGATGTAAAACATGGCTTGGGGAGGTATATGTCTTATCATGAAACTAAAAAAGAGAAGTACCCACTTTTATAAAGCAACATATTTTTAAAAAGCAACATATTTGATAAAGACTGAATTTTTTGATAACCACCATCTTTCTTTTAATTTTAATCTTTTAGCTTAACATTGAAAAAAAAATTATATTTTCTTATATGAATACAGTGATACACAAATCACCAGTTTAATATTTAATACAGAAATTGATGATTCATGTCCCTCAACTTTCACCAGCCTTAGTAAATGATAGCAATTCAACAAAGCCAAGTTGTGTCTGTATTTACATTTTCTCAGAGCCATATCCAGGTCACTACAGACAGTTCTTGGTTCACGTATCATATTAGACTAAAACCAGACAGATCACATTATGATTTAACATAATGGTGAATAAATTCAGTAACTGTCTTTAGGAGAAGATCTAAAAGTATTACTGCCTTATGGTGGGCAGTATTTCAAATAAGTATGTATTCGTTTACTGGACCACAAAGAATTCTGGCCTTACAGCAAAATAAATGCCATTTAGATTAGATAGATCATTTATTATTAATTTTAAATGGTTTCAAAGTGTGCAAAAATATATTAAATGGATTAAATTAGGCTGAACAGCAGCAGAAATTCCTCATTTCTGAAAAACAGAATATGGTAGTGTGCAATTTTTCAAAGGGCTGAAAAAAGCTGCATCTGGTAGAATTCCTCTTTTATTAAATATATCGGAATTTAAACAATTATGTTGTGCTTTTTTATTTATTTTATGTTTACTGCCTTTATCTAAAGAGCTCCAGGCATTAAGAATGTAATGAACATTTTGGATTTCAAGCTAAGATCAAGACATTGTTTTAGTTACTACTTTGTTAACAGAAGATAATATTCAGCTGCATGTTAAGAAAGTTCTGAAGTTTAAGCTGCCTTTTAAAGCACAGAATCAGACAAAGAAACATTGTTTTGGCAACTTTAGTGACATCATTCTTGTTGAGTTTTTAATATACTAGACTAAACATACTTTTTTTAGTTTGTGTTTAGTACAATATGTGAATCCAGCTATTAACAAATGACCCCTGAAGTTATCATTGCCCTTCTCCATTTTTTGGCTACAAGCCTAGGATAGATAAAATTTAAAAACTGAAATTGAAAACTAAAGTATTATGTACATCACTTTAAATATATAGATTAGGAAAACCTTAACATGTCATAAAGTTTGCTTGCTTTTGAACCTAAATGATATTGTTACTCCTAATGTAATTTAATCAACATTCACGATGCTCTAACATTGGCAAAGAAAAGCTTTTGACCCCATAATCCACATTTAGTTAAGGCAAGATAGGAGGATGTGTCAGTAGATGAGTCTAATCTCATGACAACTTATTTTCAAATGAGATTCTCAATTTAATTTCAAATGCGGTTTAGACTAGAATGGCAAAATGCAAATTTGAAGTTGATGGTAACCACCAATCTTTAATTTGTACAGAGAGAACAGAACAAACTGCAGTCAGAATCTGCAGACAACCCTTTTTTAAATATGCCTAAAAATGTGAGACATATTTTATTAGCTTTTCTGTTTTCCTCATTCAGACCCCTATATATATATATACATTTTCTGAGGTTTTCGCGGGTGTTTGTATGTAGGTCTTTGGTTGTTCGGGTTTTCTCCCGCGTAAAATTGGAAGTGTCTTGGCGACGTTTCGACGAAGTCCCATTCGTCATCTTCAGGCTGGTACTTTCAGCTTCGTGCTTCGAGGAGCAAGACACTTCCAATTTTACGCGGGAGAAAACCCGAACAACCAAAGACCTACATATATATATATATATATATATATATGTATATGTATATGTATATGTATATGTATATGTGTATGTATGTATGTATGTATGTAGGTTTTTATAATTAGAGCAAAATATATAGTACAATTACAGGTAGTCCTCAACCTATTACCACAATTGAGCCCAAAATTTCCATTGCTAAGACAGTTGTTAAATGAGTTTTGCCCCATTTTATGACATTTCTTGCTACAGTTGTTCAGTGAATCACTGCAGTTGTTGGTGATGACATGGTTGTTAAATGAACCTGGTTTCCCTATTGACTTTGCTTGTCAGGCCAGCCAGCGGGAGCTCTGCACCACTGCTGCTCGGACTAGGTTGCTTGGTAGCTTTGACCTCCCTCTGGCCTCACACAGAGTTCACAACAGGTGATCACATGATACCAGGAGACTGCAACCTTTATAAATATAGGCCAGTTGCCCAGTGTCTGAATTTTGATCACCTGACCACAGGGATGCTGCAAGGGTTGTAAATGTGAAAAACAAGTCACTTTTTTCAGTGCCGTTGTAACTTCAAACAGTGATATAATAGTTGAGATCTAGAGAGCATCAGAACTCAAAAAGAATGAACAATTCAGATATAGGCTTAACCTTTTACTAAAGTAGTGGGAATGCTAAATTGTAACTTAAAGTTACAGAAATAATGAGTATTTTCTCCCTCATTCTACAAACACTTGTCTAGAATATTCTAATGCTTCATCTTCTTGCTTAGTAATATACTCCCTTGAAATCAGAAATTTTGTATTTCCAATCAAATAGATTCAGCATACTAATCTACCATGATTTCTGAGTAAATTTAGCATTTGTAGATAGGTGGGCCTGGAGTTGAAGGCAGTACATCCAAGTTTTGAGGTTGCTCAGCATTCTGAATATTTGTTGCCCAGTTCTAATAGAAAAAGCCTAAGCTTTCCACCTCTGACTTCTGCAACCTTCAGTACCAGGTTATGGGTTTGTAAAGCACAGTTGTTACTCAAGAGAAATTGGGTGATTTAGCCATGGGTTTATATGAAACTTCTGTATTGTCAGGCTACTGTACCACCTTTAGTCGAGAATTAGTTCTGGGGGAGGGGAAAACCTTTTGTTCCTTTATTGGGGAGGAAGGATTCAACACTGTAAATTCCAATAGATACAGGAACATTTTAGGGAAAACTTGGACGTCGTTTACATAGCCTTTCCTTAAATGCTCTGATATTCCGTAACTGCAGATCCTTCAGATTGGACTTTTTTCCTCCTAGGCGCTCTTTTATCTCCCCTCCCTCCGGCATGGAAACTTGTTTCCAAGTCTGATAAACTACATCGGGCTGGCCTAGCTGTCGAGTTCAAAAGCAAACCATCCCGCCCCGTTTCGAGAGAAAAGTAGATGCCGACAGCCGGAGCGGGGAAAACGAGCGAGTCAGCAGCTGGTTCGGAGCTCCACTAGCCAGGCCTTCGGGAGCAGAGCGCTGGAGGCTCGGCTTGGCGGCGCGCTGCGCTCCCCCGGCTCGATCGAGTGCGCTGCTCTCCGCTGAGCTTGCCTAGGCTGACAATGAATGGCTGCTGCTAGTGCTGATCGGAGGGCGAGGGGAGCAGAGCCCCTCCGTTGAGCAAGATCTTCCCTCCCTCCCCTTCTTTTGCACAGGTGAGAGCTCCGGGCCCCCTCCCCCCTTCCGAAAGGTCGCCCGGCTCCGCGTCCTCGCCGCTGCAGCGCGGAGCCCGCCCGGTCTTGTCCCCCTCCTCCAAAGGCAGGGACCCTCCCCCATTATTCTGGGTCTTTAAACTTTTTCCCTCCCCCCGAAACAGTCCCCCAAACTGCCCGGTCCTCTGCCGAAGGCGAGGAGAGCCCTATCCCGGCGATAGCAGCTGCTCCCGGCGCCCATTTTCAGCTTGGGAGAGGCCACCGCTTGCTGCTCCTTCGCCCTCCTTTCTCTCCCCTCCCCTGAGATGGCCAGCACCCCTTTCCTTCTGTCTCGGCGGCGCCCGCAGGAGGGCCACCCGAGAGATGGGATGCGGCGCGGGGAGCAGGCCGGCCGGCCGGAGCTCTGCCGCCGCTACTGCTGCCGGGGTTGTAGGCCGCCTGGTTAGCCTCGACCTCCCCTCTCTAAAAGAGGGGGGACGTTTCGTTCACCTCACGCGGAACCCATAATAACGTGGTGGAGGCTACTCCCTCCTCCCGCGGCTCTATCCGCCGGCCTGGACTGTGCGGCTTCACCTCCCAAGTAGGCCCTTCCGAAATTCCCCGGGCTTCCCTACGGGGGCTTTGTCCTCCTTCCTGCTCGTTCTCTCCGCAGCCGTCGGTTGAGGGGGTGCGGAGCGAGCGAGCGGAAGGAAAACTTTCGGTGGAGCCGCTTGGCTTTTCTCGAGAAAGGCCCGGCCGGCAGGTTGGCTTGGAAACCGGGGATTCGAGGGCGGGGGGGGAGGGGAATGCTTCGGCCCTGGCTTAGGAAGGGGCGCCGCGATAAAACGGAGTGGGGAGGTTCGCCTCCTTCCCCGCTCCCAGTGGGAAGGGCACTCTTCGCTTCCCTTCAGTGGGAGCTTTCGGTATTAAAATCCTCATTAATGGAAAAGGGGGTGGGGTGCTTGACGCGCAAGAGAAGCTGGACTTAGGAAGTTTCACCAAAAGCTGGAAGTTGGGATAAAGCGAAGATTGATGGGGACCCGAAAAGACCGGAGCGTCGGCGTTGTTTTTTGAAAAGTCAGCCGGGATTCATAAGATTTACTCTTAACAAGCGGGTCTGAAGTTGAAGCCTTGATTTGCAATTTCCCCACATTTTGCAATGGCGATTGGGGGAAGATTAAAAACCGCAGTTGGGGAAAGATTAAAAACTTCACTTTAGGATTATTTCTGGCAGGAAATGGGATGAGGGCTATTTGGCTTATAGTTCCACGAATGTGATGAGAATAGACAATACCATTTAAGTTGAGGATACTTCTCTTGTAGAGATGGGGCAAGTGTCCCAAATGACGTTAAACAATGATTTCCTGCTGTGTTGATCATCATGCTCATGTCCTTTTATCCTTTTCTTACTTTGATTCCACTTTGCTCTATCTACCAAGTTTATTGCCATAGGATATAAGTTATGTCTTGTAAGTAATCCTAGGATTACTTTTTTAATGAAAGGAAGGTCTATGAAAATAACGTGGCAATTTGGATTTTGCAGTGAGAAAATTAGACTGTCAAAATTCTTCCTCCAATTTTCTCATTGTATCTTTAGAAATAGTCTTACTTAGATTGCACTAAATGTGCTACATAAATTTGAGTGATATTCGAAAACCGAATCAGTGCTTGGGCACATATCAAGGTCTGTTCTAAAGAGTTTTTTATTAGGCACTTGTAGTTACATATTAGAGCCAGCAGTGCTCATTATATTGTGACGCCAGAACCCAAACCTAGTTCTGTTGAAAATGATTGGATAATCGAATGCATGAATAATAAATTTTATTAAGATATGGGATTTGGAAACAAGAATGTGCAGGATTGCAATGCTGATCCCATGTACTCAAATACTAGTATTTCTGTAGAAAGTCATTTTCTGCAATGTTAGGAGAATATACTTTGTATATTTTAATCCTTTACATTGTTTACTCAGAAAAAATAATATGGAATTATAAGCCTAGAAACTTTTAAGTACTTCACCATCCAAAAAAAGAAAAGTGGAGTGTGGAAGCTTAATCATTATTCCATTTCTCCTTTGTCCTAGGCCTCTAGGGTCATGTTCACCTATGATGGTGGTTCTAGTTTAGGAAAGGAAAGATTTGGTAAAACTGAACCACATGGAAACTTAACTCATTTTAATATGTGGTCACTTGAGAAGTTAGGAAAAGTTTGAAGATTATGGAATTAGTATGGAATAATTATTTAACTTAAAACTTGTAAGGTATGTAGTGAGAAAGATATTTCTTAAGAATTTTCAGTTCTTGTGCTCATTTTTGCTCCACTAAGCCGCATATCTCTAGAACTTGATCTGTGGAGGGATCTACTTTAGAATTAAAATATTGAGAGGCTGAGGACTTCTTCATTGAGTTATTATAAACCTAAGTCCATTAGCAACCCTTTTGGCAACTTTGGAAATACAGGGGTTGTTCAACCATGGAGGAAGCATTTTGCATCCTATAGTTTAGAAAGCTGCCCTCCTTGTTGCTGCTTCTATCACACTATTTATTTTCATACTCCATTCAGGATTACAGCTTTTAAATTATAGTCTCTATCCTCCCTCCAGGATAAAGACTTAACTTTCTATAAAAACATAATTCCTTTTAAGTTATCGATTTCATTTATTCATGATTAATCCAGATGATGGCAAACATCGGCCACCACTTTATCTGCCCTTATTCATTAATTATTTTCCTGAATTGTGGGAATTTACATATTCTCTTTAGGCTCATTAAGAAGTTAGTGAAGGTTTGGTTAGTGTCTAATTTCACTCACTAGGTCAGTAGAGTTTCAGTTTTAATTTTAACTAGCATCTGTAGTGATATTTGAATGGTCTAATACTTAAGTCTTGGCTTACTGTTTTTAACATTAATTGACTTGGAGAATATGGGTGTGGAAATGTGTGTAATAAAAAAATTGCTAAAGAATATTGTAGCTGAATATAGTATTCAACACCCTAAACTGATCTTAATATCACAGAATTGAAAGAGAAGTGGGGTTGGGTCTTTTGTATAAGAAGGAAGCAAAACTATTGATAACAATTGTAACTTAGAAGGAATAATTAAAACCCAATTAAATCTATTGTGTAGACATCATGAAAATGGGGGAGGGTATTCTTTATTCTTTTACATTACAAATAATGCTTACTGGTTCAAATTAACACCTTTTTTCACACAGTACATTTTGCAGTTGATATTGTTTGACGCTGGGAAAAGGATGACCAACACTGTATAAATAAGTTAAAAGAAGACTCAGGAAGTTTTGTAAATGACAGAAATATCAACATTTTGGATAAGTTTACTAGGATAAATGTTTAAGGTATTTTGCTAAAACGGCTTCTAGTTCTAAAATTGCTGGAAACTGTAAAAAGGAAGTAGTTCCCTATTAATAAATTAACTGGGATTACTTTCTATAGTAGATTTGTATTCTGATACGTCAGTGATACATATTTTGAGACAGAGAGAAGGAATGTCAAAATTGCATTGAAAAAAGCGGTGTTTTTATTTCTCTGATCATCGTAGACAAAACATTTCAAGAAAATGCAATAGAATTCTGTATAAGTGAATGAGTGGGCTACGGGAGAAAGACTTCCTTCATGAATAGTAAAAAAAAAACACAAGCTGCTGGAGAAGTAGTGTATTTAATAGACTTTTTAGCATTTGTTAGTACTTTATATTTTTATATTTCACAGAGACAAGATATAAGATATATATAATATATAAAAGGAAATGACAAAGGCCTACTAATTAATTCAATTCCTACTGACTGTAAGGAAGAAATAGAAGCAGAAAATGTTTTAGTTTGTAAAACAGTGGGTCATTGTATTGTGTTCATATAAAAGGGAAGATATCATTTTGCTGCTAGGATAGACCTGAGTTGTACTTGAAGCAGGAAGCTAGACTTTATTAATGACTAAATTAGTTTCCCAGTCTTGGGTGGAGACAGTATTATGAGGATGAAGGCTGGAGCTCTCATATTACAAAATTAACCACCAACCTTCTTTGTTCTCCTGGACAGCATCAATTCTCTGCTTAAAGTTGGTTACAAGGAAATGAAGTACTTTAATAGCTTCTGAATCTTGGAAGAAGTAGAAATTCTCTCTTCTTTCTGGCTGTGCTAAGGTTGTTGTCACCATAGCATCATAGCACAAGCTTCCGATTTTACACTATTGAGGTTGATTGCATAAGAGAGAAAACTCAGATTTCAGGAAATGTATAATCCTCAGTTATATATATGCTGAAAGGATCTGAAGAACCTTTAACAATTTAGGACTGAAGATAATATTTTTTCAAACAAAAATCTTATGATTAAAGTTAGCTCTGGTTAGTTTTTTGTTTACTCAGAAGTAAGCTCCACTAAATTACATCATATTCTCTCATTTTTAGATTAGACAAAAAATGAATGCCAACTTTCATTAGCAATAGAGACCAAGTTTTCCATGCAAAATTTACAGGCAAGGGCATGATTGAGAAGATCAGTCCCTAATATTTTCTTTACAGCATTTGAAACTAGTGATATAGTCTTCCTATATCCGGAGCTAAGCTTAAATAGGAGATGGGGATTACATTGACTTTTAGTTTGATACAGTACTCCATGGGATTGGGATCTTTGATTTTGCATTCCCAGTTTAGGTTTACAATTATTGAAAGGATTGCTCTGCCTGAAAATGACAAAGTTCACAATCCGTTTAGGGTCAGTCCTTTTCTGAGACCCAGCTTGATTGTTACTCAAACTATCTCCATGTATGGATACAGGCTAATCAGGCTTTTTATTCATAGTAAAGTAGGTGGCATTTCTCTGAAAGGATGGTTGTAACTGTAAACCTTGATGGTCTTAACTATCCTGTTTTTCATGCTCTTGTTAAGGTTTAATTTCCCATCAGTATTTGAAATATCTTTATCAGTTATGATTAATTACATTTATACAGCTAAAAGTTTTATTCATATCAATCCTCTTCTTCAAATTTCCCATATCAAAAAAAGAAAAAA